GTTACTAATAAAACAAATTTTTACTATCAATAATATTTTGAAAACTAATTTTCAATAATAGATAAAATATAAATATATTTTACACAATAAATAAATAGAAAAATATTTAAGAATATAAATAGTATTACAATAAAAATAATTATTATATGTTGATGCTAAGGCCTTAATTAATTACTGATTTTCCATATTTTTAATAGAATTCAAACTTTTGTTAATTAAAAAGTTATCACAATAAGGAAATATATGTAACACATGTAAATTATTAATTAATCATGTATTAAAAAAATAATTAATCAATTCAAACGTAAACTAACAATCTAGTGAACAAATAATTAAATAATTATAATTTATTATTATCTAGTATTTTAATATATATAACACAAATATAATGATTCTAGTATTTTAAATCATAAATAATTTATTATTATCTAGTATTTTAAATCATAAATAATTATAATAAAATAAAATAAAATAAATTAGATAAAAAAAAGTTAAAAAATCTCTAAAAATTCTATGATTGTAAAAAAAATCCTAAAAACATTCTCATACAAGATAATGATTTGTATTTAATATATAAGAGATTGATGTTAATTTTCTTGTTTTAGTAATACATCCAAAAACCTTTTGGTTGATAATTAAATATATTCTTTCTTGAGTCAAGTATTTATATCTATATATATATATAAGTGATTGCTTATTTTCGTGTATATAATTTTTTAAATTATTTGACCCTTAAATTTTTTAATAATAAATAATATTATTAAAAAAAATAATATTAACAATTAATCATTTTACAAATTCAAAACTCAACTCAAAATCTTAAATTTGAAAAACTAGATATAATATTGATTAATTTAACAAACATTTATAATTCTTTAACACTTTAAAAGTCACAAAGTATTTTAAACTCATCAATAATTATAAGGATTTCAATTATTAAAACAAATATTGATAATTTATTTATATTCTCATCTTAAATATCTACTAATTTATTAACAAGTTGATATTAGTTAACTCTCTTAAATTAAAAAAAAAATTTACACAAAAATTTATTAACATACTTAATTTATCTAATATACTTTATAATTTAAAATATTTTTAATTAAAATACTTCATAATTTCAAAATATATTGTATATAATAAACATATGTTCGCTAAACAAATATCATGATGTTTTCTTTTCTTTTCTCCATAAAAAGCAATTCGGGTAGCAACAAAACACAGGTGCCAAACGGTAAAGGCGAGTACACAATTCCCATACTCTCACCTTTGTTTCCTACTCTCCTTAACCCACCTCTTGAGTTCGGATGCTCATTAAAAACCATAGTCCCTCCTAGAAATCTCCGAAACTACCATATCACGGTGGCATAAATATTTTTCCTCAGCTGCCATGGATTCCTCCGCATCGCATGTGCCGGCGAGTGAAACGACGCCGTTCTGGACCGATGAGAAGCACTTGCGCTACCTCCACACGATGGAAGCTTCGTTCGTGCGCGCAATGTTCAAAAACAGAGACAACTCCACACGCCTCGACCGCTACCTCCCCGACACCTCCGAGTCCACCTTGGATTTGAAACCACACTCCCATCGCGGCACCGTAAAACACCATGCACCCTCAGGTACTTGATCCCAATTAACACCCCCTTCGGTTTTGGTGCACATTCCTTTTATTTATTATTATTATTATTTTTTTTTTTGGTTTCGTGTTAACTTGGTCATTTTGTTTTATTGATGGACGCCGTTTGACTACCCGAAATCTTAAACCAAACAGCACCTAATTAAGTGGACCGTGGAAAAGATCGAATATGCCCTTTAGATATTTCTACACTGTATCACCTTCTTTTCTCTTTCGGATCTCAATCTCCTACCGTAAAGATAACTTTTAATTTTTTAAAATTTTATATTAAAACAAATTATAAAATCACACGCCATTAACAAATAAAATAAATAAATGAAAATTGTGACAACATTAGAAAAAAAACGGCATGCATCAACAATGTTAATTAAATTAGTACAAATATAATACAAAAACGTTGGAATATATTATTACATATAATTTTATTCATAAAAATATAAAATTGATATTTGTTACACTGTATAATATCTTATCTTGTTAGTACATACTAACATCTGACATTTTTTTAATGTAAGTTTGTGGTTATATATGATTTAAAACTAATTAATTTTTAACGTTTAGTACATGTCTAGATTAGTTTATTGAGAAAATTATATGTATTTTATTTTGATTTTTAATAGAAAATTATATTTATTTTAATGTATTATGATTTTGATGAAAAGATCTCACGATGCACTTGGATTGGGTCCCTGTTTTATTTTTTTGTTCACTTTTTGACCGGGGTTTCCCTTTTTCTATAATTCCTTTTCTAATAATTTAGGTCTGTTTTGTTGTAACAGATTCAATGGGTCCAATAAACAGAAGAAGGAGGAGTATGAGGAGATCATCTCAGCCCTACAATTCCTCACAGGATCAGGTGTAATTAATTTGTTTTTGGTTTGCAAAGATCAAAGATTGATCTAACCGTTGAATCGTGATCCACTGGACAGATAAATTAATCATTTTTTATCATAATTAATTAATTAATTAACCAAACATGGGGAATTATTTGTTTATTTATTAGCCATAAAAATACAAGACATTTGTTTATTTGTTGGCGATAAAAATTCAAGGCATTCATACTCCCCTCACATGTTTTGCTCGATCTTGTCTTGTATGTACATACATACATGCATTCTTATAGAATCATTATTAAACAAGAGAAGGATATTTTTGAAGAAGAGATAGATATCTAGATGAAGAAAAGGACTAATATGTGATTTCCACATGTCCCCACACAGGTGGTCCCACAAGTAGAAAACGAAAGAGAAGGTGCAGCATGTAAATGTAATGGTGACGATGATAAAAGAGCAGAAAATTAATGTTTAGTGTACCTTTTTCACCAACCCTCCTACCCCTCTTCATTTTTTTATTCTGCCCAGTTATTTATTTTACTATTTATTTCACCTCTGTATTTTATATGTTTTACCTAAAATTTGTCTCTTTACTTATTAGTAATGTAATGCTCTTTCTCTAATTCGTGACATGTAAGTGACAGACATATTTAATTACCTGTTGTTTATTAAGAGCTTGTTTGTGTATGAATATTATTTAATAATTAAGTAGAATTTAGTTATATACTAATTAAAATCTTGTGAGAAGATATTAACAAAGTGTGTGTAATGTATATTATTATTATCGTCACAGTGACACATGATGCCATTATTATATCTAAGTTATGGAAGATATTTTTTTTACAAGAAAACAGGTTATGGTTATGAAAAATATTTAAAATGACATTTAATCATAATAATCATGTATATAGTAAATTTATTCATTTTTATAATAATTATCTTATCATAATAATAGTGATTTTGATCAGCTGTTAGTTTTCACGCTAATAAATATATGATCATTCATTTTTATTTATTTCTTTGCATGGGTGATAATCTCCCTTTTCTAAAGTTGGCTAAACAAAACAAGGATTAGGCAACCGTTATGGGAGATATTTTATGAAAGTTCCGGGAATATCATATCACATTATTTGATAGAGGTGTGGGAGAGAATAATAGAAGAATAAATTAAGTTAGTTTGTATGATATTTTCATAACTGTGCACATGATATGATGTTCTTATTAATTAATAGATTAACAAGCATTCATTATCAATAGAAAAGCTTTCACACCAGTGTCAAAAGTTATTTTTGATGGGACATTTTGTGACTAAATAATAATATAAATTATATATGATTTTTTTTTATAAAAAAAATTACACATACGAATGTATAGATACATACCTTTAATATTATAAAGGAGTCGTGAATATATATGGAATAAATGGATAGATTGGAGGATAGGGACAGGGGCAAGAGGCCAGTTTCCAACCTTATCTGTATGAATATGTTGGAGGTAGTGGTTGGTTTGTAAAATATATTCAAATCGGAATTCCGTAATGAATAATGCATACTCTTCTCTTCTTTTAGAATAGTTCCATCTCATTGCCAACTTTGCATGATTGTTCTTGATGTCAAGTCGTATCGTTCATGGGATAAATTTCTAATATCTGTGTTTTCCTGAAATGTGTGCTAAATTGGTTTATATGTTGTACTTGAATTAATTTAAATTATACTATGTTTTATATTGAAATGTATTTTTTTAATTAATAGTGAAATATTTAATTTTCTATTTAAGATAACGAGAATAAGTGAAGACAGACATATATTAGGTTGGATTGAATTTTAAATATATATGTTGAATGTATTTTATAAAATTAAAATTTAGGTTTGATTAAGTTTTCTTTTTCTAGATCTAATATGACTTTTTAAAAGTTTGATATAATTTATTAGTCTTCTTAAAAATCTATTTTACATTAATAATGTTAAATAAATTAATAAATTAATTTTAAATAAGTTAATAAATCTGTTTTAAATACATGTGTAATTTTTTTAATTTACATAATAAAAAATAATTTATTCTATTATTATTAATATTTAGAGTAAAATAAAAATAAAAAATTAACTTAAAAAAAATAACTTAAACATATTCACGTACACTAATGTACACTCACACAAGTATGATTAAAGTTTAAACAAAGTTTAAACAATTGTTATATAAGACCTAAATCATTGTTATATAAGACCTAACCAATTTCATATCTATCGATAAGTGAATGTTTAATTGAATTTGAAAATTACAAACTTACTTTCCCATCTTAACTTTTTTCTAGATCATTTCAAATCGAATTTGAATGTATTATCATAGTATTATAAAAAATATTACAAATACTAAAATAATGAAAAACTATTCATAGTAAAAGTATTATAAAATATTCCCATTATTTGTATCAATTTTTTTTTAAATATATTATCTTGATAAGAAAGAAATAGTTTGATAATGTTATTCATATTAACTGTTGGAGAAAAAGATACACACTAGAATAGGATTGAATAGTATATATTAAAAACTTGTACTTTTTGCATACTGAAGAGAAAATAACTTTGGAAACGAAGTGCTAAAATACAACAAACAAAGGAGCACAGATCTTTTATATTGGTTCATCTCAAACTTAGAGATTATGTTTAGTTCTCAATTTAACTGGATTAAGTTTCGCTATCTTTCAAAAGATACAAGTATTCTTTAAACAAGTCACTTCTGACTCAAATCTAAATAGTTTTTGACTTGTCTCTTCAAACAACTATTCAAGTATTTTTTCAACAAGTCTTTCTAGGCTCAGCACCAAGTATTCTTTTCAACCAAGTCTATTTAGGGTCAAACACTAAGTATTTTTTCAACAAGTTTCTCCAAATTAAACACTAAATATTCTTTTGAACAAGTTTCTTCAGACTCAACCCTTACAAACATATTTGAAAAGAGTTACAAGGATAATTTTGTCTCTTCTAAATGTGATGCTATAAAAATTAAGCACAAATAGTCTATAAAAAACTATGTACAAGATTTATAATAAAAAGTTTCTTTGTAGTACTTCAGCTTTGTATGTTTCGGTATGCCTTCTCAATACAAACTTTTCAGTATGTGTCAATCTTTTTATTTCAGTACTTCTCAATTATTTTTTTCTCATTGTTTAAAGACTTGATCCTTTTATAGTAGTTTCAGAAAACATGACTGTTACAGCAACTTTGAGTTAAACTTTCAACTTTCTTCACGAATTGCTTCGTCTATCTTCTCTGTTGATCTTAGATTATTGTTGATATATTTAATGCAAGCATTAAATACCTTTTAGTAAGGCGTGTATCTCTTATATAATCTTGTAAACTGCTTATCATCATTTTCTTCTAAATTGAGTAAGGCAAAAGTAGTGTCAGCGCAAAATAATTGAAATAAGTGTAGAGCAGTCTTTTGCAGCACCTTTCCCATGATATCTGAGATTTTTCTTTTTACTACTTTCGGATATTTTGTTTTTTTCTTCTTTAATAAATTTTGAGAGTTGCGAAACTTCTTTTTGTTCGATCTCTTAAGGAATAACACATTAAAAAATTTTAATGTTAGTCTCATTTGGAGATATTCAATTTAATGTCCTAAGATAGATTATATGATTCGTTTGTGTAACGACTCGGCTGGTCACTACACACACAACACAACAAAACACACCAGAACACCAGACAGAAAAGAACAAGTATATACATATAGGATCTAGAATATATATATATATATATATATATACAAGGTCCAAATCTGGCTAGAGTCAGAATGTACAAAATATGTAACGACCCGGCTGGTCACTACACACTACACAACCCCTCGGCAAGCACACAGAAAAGAGCAAGTATATAATTATATACACGAGGTCCAAGCTGAGCTAAACGTCAGAGTAATCAAAATACATCCATCACTACCCCACTAGGTAGCTAAAACAACAAAACATCAAAAGATCAACTCCATCTGCCAGCTGTAGACCTGCCACAGATCACCAACCTAACCCTGCTCTGCTCCCATCCAACGTATGATCATCGCAGTCCAAACACATGGAAACAAAAAAGGGTAAGCTAGTGAAAAGAATCAGCATACAAAGCATATATATGTAATATGAACAGCTACAGCTATCAGTGCATCATCAGCATACATCTCATCAACTATACAACAATAAACACACAATTTGTTGTCACGCATATCAGCTCGGAGATCTCCTACAACAGCTCAGCCTTACGGCCTACAACAGCTCAGCCTTACGGCCTACAACAGCTCAGCCTTACGGCCTATAACAATTTATATCAGCATACAGCACAGCACAGCTTAACAGCATACAACACATCACTTCTTATCAGCATACAGTACAACAATATTATAGTTCAACATCATCAATATTCATCAATAACAGCTCAACTCGGCATGAACAACATGTATCAGCATTTTACAACATCAAACAGCATATAGAAACATCATCACCTTCGCGCCTGGTGCACTCCTGGTCACGCCCGGCGTGGCACAACCAGAGAGCACCAAGGGCTAGCGCGCCCAGCGCAAGCATGCCCGCGCACGACGGGACCCATCCAGAGAGCCCAAGGCTCACACGCGCCTGGCGCAATACCAATTGCGCCCAGCGCACCCCAGGTAAAGACTCTAAGGAGTCTCACGCGCCCGACGTGCCCAAACCCGCGCCCAGCGCGAGGAAGGCAGAGATCTCTCAAGGTCTCGCACCCAGCGCAATTCAAATTGCACCTGACGCCCCCATGGCATAGACTCCCAAGGACTCTCCACGCTTAGCGCGACAATGGTCGCGCCCAGCGCATAACCAGAACCACAAACATGTCACTTACTGATATCGCGCCCGACGCGGTCCAAGTCACGCCCGGCGTGGGCCATCCAGAGACTCCCACTCTCAAGCTCGCCTGGCGCATACACCACTACACCCGGCGGGCTTGCCCAAATGCGGTCTTCTGATGGTCGCGCGCCTGGTGCGAAGAATGACGCTCAGCGCGAAACTCAGCAGCAACCCTCAACTTTCGAAAAACTTCACAAAATCCTGCAAACTCAACCAGAAAAGAACATGCAATCCATCAAAAAGCTCACATTTTCATCAAACATCCCAAAAATACCATCTTTTCACACATGCAACCATTAGAAATCAAAAACCCAAATTTCTTCAAGAAACCCCGAAACACCCGAAAATGACTTCCTTCGAATTTCAGCCAAGAATCAGCCATTCACAATCATCAAATGAGTGTTATGACTCAATTACAACCAAAGTACAACAGAATCTAGCTTCCCTTACCTTGGTGAAGAACTCTGAGCTCCAGGAAGGAGAAAATGAAGAAGAAGAGAAGGTTTGATGTGAACGGAGAAGAACTAGCTTGAGAAATCAGCTCACACCCCCACTAGCACCTTCAGCCACCAAAAATCACCATACGTAAAAGAGAGAAAAGGAGAAGTGAGAGTTTTGAGAGTGAAAGAGAGTTGAGTGAGGAAGAGATAAGAGAGCGAGGGTTAACGGGTCTCACAACCTCCCCAACAACAAGAGTTTTCATCCCCGAAAACTGACTTACTTGGGAAAAGAAACGGATACCGCTCCATGCACTGCTGCTCCACCTCCCAAGTAGCCTCACCAAAGCAATAGACTTGCCCCTCAACTCCT